ACAGGGGATAGCATGGTGCATGTTGGGGCAACTCTTACTGACTGTGTGGTTCTGGAGTCAATACCCTCTCTGAGCCAGGCAGAGTGGGATCAGCAGGCTCACAGTGGGTAGCTCAGAGCAAAGTACTGTCAGTAGTGCTTTAACTGGGATGGGCTCCTAATGAGAATATATAGCCAGAACATATTAATGCACTGAAAAGGCTTTGAAATCCATCTTAGTATGACATTTGCTCACCTACTGCCAGAAATAAGGACAGCTAAAAGTGACATTTTAATAACTTTGGAGAACAGAACTAGAACTGCAGTGGACTTTTTAATGGTGCTCAAAGGACACTGCTATGTACCACTACAGGAAGATGAGACAATGTTTTTCTGCATGACTATGCACTGTAAGACTTAATCAGGTTTCAACTCTTGCACACATCTAAGGATGCAGAAGGTACATGAGAGAGGCTCTAAACACTCTTGCAAAACGTCCACAAATCTATTTTTTTTTCAGGATTAGCAGTGCCCTGCAAAGTAGAATGATCAAACTTGAAGCAAGAGCTAAGAAATACACAATAAATCCCCTGAGCTTTTATGCAGTCCCAAACATAATCATAAAAGTAGCAACAAAACCAAGTTCCCTGAACTAAAAAAATGTGCTCTCATTTGAAGAAAGAGAAAATGGAAAAATACGTTACAGCATCAACAATAAGGATTTCAGCTATCCAGGAAAGTATATCTGCACCACACAAAACATCAGATCCTACCCAGATACATCAGTATCATTCACAGCCCTGAAAGAGAATGGAAACGAGAATGGAGGAAGGACACCTTACACTGGGGGAAAGGAAAACTTTAGTAACAACATTAACCTATCTGGCAACTTGCCAATCAGTCAGAAATAAATGGCAACAAGTAAACTATCATCAAATCCCCGAATACAGTGTAAACACTGCATGATATTCAGAGACCTAAAAAGTATGATGCTTACATTTTGAAAGCTCTTTTATAGTGTCTTTCTCATTGACGTGGAGCTGGATCCACAAAACAGTATTTTCCACACATCAGTCCACAAAATAGCTGTGGAAAAATACCAGGGTAGAGCTTTTAATCCTAAACCATGTTGTTCAGAAGCTCTGGGATGTTACAGTTCAAAGTGAATTTGGCCCATTAAAGGAATGGGAAAATTTGGATACAGATCCAAACTCCCTCCATGCTTGGCAAAACTGAATTAGTTTGGATTTCATCCATCTCTAATCTTCGAGCATTCATTTGTAATTAGGATTCCTTGGGCCATGGGAGCTACCAGCTGCTGGACTCTGAAGAAGACTTGGGCATAACTCATGTCTCCATGACAAGGTTCAGGCAGGCAGGTAGCATCTTTGCATGCTGCCTGGATGAGGTGTGGGAGGGTGATGAGCTGTAGGTGCCCTGATCAGTCCAGGTAAAGAAGGTAAGTTCAGAGAGATGGTTTATTGCTGCAGGTGGGTACAAACTCTCATACATCACTCAGAACAAGCATAACTCTTCTTAACATATCAGGTATGAAAGCAGACAATCAGCCCACCCCAGTCCATGTACATGCAGTGTGTTGCAGCCTCGCAAAGACATTTTTCCCAGAGCTAGAGCACAGCCAAAGCAGCCCTTTGTGAGTTGCAGTGGATACTACTGTATCCCCCTGCTGCACTGCAATATTGCTGCAAGGGCAAGCCACAATTCTGCTCATAGAAATCCTGCAGGGAGTTTTTGGAGACAGATTTGGGGACTCTACTAAGACTTTTCAATAGAAGAAGGCAGGTTAAGAATGGCAGGCAGAGAGGGAGGACAGGACAGCAAAAAACAAGAGGCTGTAGTTACCTCTCCGGATAGATGTGACTTTGCAGAGACAAAGGGGATTTGCACAGCAGCTCTTGCCCAGTGACTGAGGCTGATGATTTCAGTAACACTGCCCCCAGGGAGCGAGGGGCTCCAAGCACTGCAGGAACAGGCAGTCTGAGCTGTGTCAGCTGCACCAGTGTGCTGAGCAGGCATTTTCCTCATCAGAGCAGGCCCGTTCCAGCAGGAAAGGAGGCCATGTAGGTGCTGCCAAAGCCGAGAAAGCCATATCCTGCCGTTCAGAGGCTCCACTCGAGTGTATCAGCACACTTCCAGAGAAGCTAAGGGAGGTGTACTGGCTTACAGAGCTGTGTGCCTGGCCTGTAGGTGAAAGAGAAAAATGGGAACTGTGCTGCATGTTCATATGGCCTCTACAATTTTTGGTGCGTGGGTAAACTGTGATGGTGTCAGCTAAGAGGCATCAACAAGCAAGAATAAACATTTTACAAAAGCCGAAATATCTCAGCTGTTACAAATGGACTGAAAGGATGAAAGATTTTAATAGTGAAATAATGCAAACCCCATAATTGCAAACTTTCACACAGGTTGCCCCAGTTCCATTAGCAAACCCTTCCAATGCAGTCACAAAGTAAGGTTACAGATCACCCAGCTGCAGCCCAGAGGTTGGAAACAACTTGCATAAAGCCATCCAACAAGTCAGTATCAAATCTGAGAAGATGGCAGAGGTCAGCAGCCTATGTTTCTCCACAGCTCACTAGCCTGACTAGTGCTGTCTGGTCCATGAGCATACTCCAAGAGATTGGCAAAATGTAGATTTATTTAGGTGTGTTAGTTGCTGGGTTGCCTAACGAATGTTGCTGGCAGTACATATTAGTGTCAAGAGAGACACCCATGCATAGAAGCTGAGGGGTCCTGTTCCTAGCTCTGCAAAGAAAAGCACTCCCTTTGTAAAAATCCTAAAAGGGAAGCATCACCTGAGCTTATTTATGCAATGACGAGTATAAAGGACTTTCAGCCTATACCACTTTTAAAAGTACATTCTGAAATTTAAAAGAAAGAATATGGAGCACTTTTCACGTTCTTATGTTAATGAAGATCTCTCAGTGGGCGAGAAACTAAATAATTCTACACAAAAGAGAGAACCCGCAACACACAGGGAACTGTCAAAGGTACAGAGATCACAAGCTGCAAAACAGAAAGAACACGTTTTCAGTAAACAGTCAGGCACATGAGACTGGAGAAACCAAGATGTGCTTCTGAGTCTTCTTCTATCTATCTATCTTCTATCACAGGCATATGCATCATATGAAGTCTTCTCACCAACTGATCGACCTAGCTCTGTCCCAAAGCTCATTAGGGTTCTTGATGTAATTAAAGGAACTGTTAGTGCCACTGGTAACTGGGATGGTTGATAATGACAAACACCGACACTAATTCTCATAGTGCATCTTTAAGCTCTGTAGGGTCCAGGCACATGAGAACTTAGGCAGTCCTTATTAATATCCTTTCATCAATATTTTGTACACACCATTAAAAGATTAGTAGATTGAAGGAATTTATGAGAGTGACAAAGTGAGGTATGACTGAGCCTAGCAGAACTACATGAGAAGGTCTAAAATGTCCATCTGGCCTAATGTCATTTTTCCAACAATGGCAAGGAGCAGATGCTTTGGAAAAGAGCATGCAAAATCAGTCATCCCTGGTTTCCCTCTCAATCAGCAGTCCAAGGACTTCCTGAGATGGAGCTTCCATCAGGACCGTCAAATTAAATAATTGCTGGTACAGTTTTTTGTGAGTTTGTCTGTTTCTTTTTTAATTAGCTTATCTCTTTAATAGGATTTCCCTTTGCTATGCTAAAGGACTAGACCTGAATCTACAAATCTTAATTAGCTCCCCAGGCAGTACAACTTTTAACAACCCTCTCTGTTTCCTCAAGTCTGCTGACTGTTCTGTGCATAATCCAGACCTGACATTCCCTTGTGAGGAGTGTTAGCTGTATGGACACAAAAGTCTGTCCCTGAAGTAAACAAATTGCACAATATTAAAGGCAGTGTTCAGTCTCATAAGGATTAGATAAAGCACATGCTAAATTTTCTGTGATGCTTAAAAGCAGACATGTATTAGCCTGCTTAAATGATTACTAGGAGAGGGGTGGAGTAGCTAAATCATTACTAATTGCCCTATCTAAGGAAGCAGGAATGCCAAAGTGTTTGTATCATCCACACTTTGCGCAACGTGAATACTAAAATCAGGCATAACCCATCATACCTGCGGGTGGAAGGATTAAACCCATGTATCTGGAGATTTGTGGGCTTTCAAATAATAAACACTTTCAAAAAAAGCAAAGGGGAAGGGCAGGAGTTGACTGCCAGTGACAACTTCCCTAGTCCTTTCTAGCCTAGAAGTATAGTACTGTTGGTCAAAACAAGAACGGTAACCTTGGGGTGATGCACCTTAAGGTGCTACATCAATTAATTGAGGACTTTTTTAGAGAGGGCGAATGGCAGTGGTCAGTAGTTGTGCTACCACAGAAGAAAGAAGAGGGCAAAATCCTCCAAACATCAGAGCACGGAGTGTAATGTCCTAGCACAGGTGTCCAAACAGCCTACAGCATCCAACCCCATAACTGCTGAAGAGCCAGTTCTGCCTGCCAGACCTCCTTGTTCCTAGGCTGCCACCAACAGAGCCAACGGAAAGGGAGACAGCCATTAACTAGAACTGCCTGGTGGTCCTATTCCAGTTAAGGAGTGGGATGAGGGGAATAAGCATCAGGACCTGCAAAATTTCAAACACCTCTAGGAAAACAGAGAGGATTCATAACACAGCCTTCCCCTTCCCACCACCCTGCCCCCAAACCCACAGCTGCCAGGCTGTTTCACCCGCTTGCAAAGAGGATTTCTGTACTCAGAGCGGGGAACTTACCACTTACTATCCGCACAGATCCGTGTCCTTTGGGCACAGGGCGTGTGCACGGGGCGGGGGGGGATCACAGAGCCTACAGATGGAGCAGCCCTATCTAGCCCCAGTGCCAGCCCACAGGCCTGAGCTCGGTGGGAAGGAAAGAAAGGGAAAGAAGGCGAGAAAAAGAGGAGGAGAGTTGAGCAGGGGGCAGGACGGTGGGAAGCGCAGAGAAGTAGGGAGGGAAGGAAGAAAGCGGAAAAAAAGGAGGAGAAAGGGGAGGAGATGAAAGGCAAGGGGAGAAGGGAGGACCGGGCGGGGAGGAGGCGAGAGGCCGGGAAGGAGAGGAGGGAGGCAGCTCGGCAGAGAGGGACGGGACGGGACGGGACCCAGCGCCCCGCGGGCCATGCGCCTCCTGGCCGCGGCGCTGGCCGCCCTGCTAGCCACGGCCCCGGCCCCAGGTAAGCGGCACCGCGGGCGCGCAGCAGCCGGCGCCCAGCCCCGGCAGCGCCCTCCGGGCCGGGACAGGGCAGCCCCCCTCGGCCGCCCGCGGGACCCCTTCGCGCCGCGGAGCAGCGGCCGGCCCCCCCCGCGCCGTCGCACCGTGGAAGGGGTTGGGGCAGCGGCCCCGAGCCGCGGCAGCGCCCGGGTCTCGGGCACCAGGAGAAGGGGCGTAGCGAGAGGTTTGGGGGCGGGGGGGGGGGGAAAGTTGCCGCCCGGGGAAGCCCGGCAGCACCGCCGGGAGCGGGCGACTCCCCGCCCGGCTCCCCAGCAGCCGGCCAGGTCCTCCCCCGCCCCGGGGTGGTCCCTCTGCGGGCTCTGCCGCCGCCTCTCCGGGATCCCGGCAGCAGCGTTTCTGCACAGCGACCGGATCCGCAACTGCCTTTTTGAAAACAAAACCCCTACCGATGCAGAAGTTTATCGAAAGGCGTCCTCTGCCACCGTCTGTGCCAGGCGGGACAATGTTGAGCTGCACCGTTGGACTGCAGGCAAAGCTGAGGCAAAAGGAGATTTGGCATTGTTTTTTTCCACAGGTGCCTCGATCTCATAGGCGTCCAGTGGAAACGGAACCCGTAGGTCACTGGTAAAAAGCCTCCTCCATTCAGGACCATTATGCCTCCAAAATCAAAGGTTCATTGGGAAGCGTCGTGTCCTAAAGCTGCAAACTGGTCATAGAGTCCAGATCTGAACTTCAAGGTGCAGCAAGGGTTAGAGGGGTGGGGAAGTCCTGCTCGTTCAAGGTTAACAAAAGAGTTGAATTTGAATCTTCACCTCAAAAGGGCAGGAGATGGTGGAGTCAGAGGTTTGGTTCAAGTCCATCTTCAGTCAGTGCAGAAACTTTCTCTTGAGAAGGAGCCTCTGACTTGTGAAACTTGCAGACAGATCTATTCAACTGAAAACAGCTGGTGTTGCTTTTGGTGATCTTGCTAGCCAGCTTGCTCCTAATTATTTCATTTAAACAAAGAGCTTTGCTTCTTCTTTGCTTATCTGCTCTTCTTTTTAACTGTAGAGAAGTCAAAATAAAGCAGGCTTTGACAGTAATATTGTTTCATAGAATAAACTACAACACAGATAAAACCAATCCCATATGCTTCTGGTCATGCAAATCTGAGATCAGAAGGTAACTACCCTGGTGGCATGCCTTGCTAGTCCCTTAGCTATCAGCAGGGGCTGAGGAAAATGTCCTCTCAGCCCCGAAGCGTGGATTGTAGGTTTTGCCTGTCAGGCTCCGTGGAGGAAGGAAGAGGGGCCAATGTATAACACTAAGCCTGGACTGTGAGCAGTAGTGCACAGGAGCAACTCTACTAGTGAGTATCTACACCAAAATAGCTGGGGTTCTTCCACAAAAACACAGCCACGCTGAAACTGCTTGCCAAATATAAGGACCCAGCAGTGACTGTGGGTCCTTAGCTACTGTTCCAGCACAGAGGGGACAGACCCAGCAGAGACAGGTGTCTGGATGCTAAAAGTATAATTTGTTACTCCTGACAGTGCTGTGAAAGTGTTTTGCTATGTAATATAGCAAACAACAAAGTCCAAACCTAGGTAATATTTGGAATTCAACTGGTGTAAACAGAACCGGACTATTTTCAAAATAGGATTTTTCAAAACAGAATTCAGTTAGCAGTAACCTTCCCTGACCCCTGACTCCCAAGAGGCTAGCAAGACATGCAGGTCTAGGGTACCAAAGAAACAAACAGCTTTTTGAATATTGGAATAGGGGCAACTAAGTGAACTGGTTGCAAATGGGAGACGTGTTTGATGATTAAGCAAACTGCAAAGGAATCCTCAAGTCTTTGACTCACTCTCCTCCCTCTTTCTATACATAGTTTCCCTTTCCGAACAGAAGCAAGACTAAAACTCTTGTGGTGAGCTCCACTTGAGCAGCTACATCATGCTATACTGGGAAGGCAGGAGAAGAAAAACAGTGATTCTTCACTCGAAGCAGTAATCAGAAGTCTAGAAATTCAGTGCCCTGTTGGCATGCAAGCCTGTTCTCAAGTTGTGGAGGAGTCTCCTGTCTTGGTGTGGAGACCATTGCAAGGGTAAACCTCATGTTGGGGCTGATCCAGTGCCTGCTAAAGACAGGAGGAACATTTCAGCTAGTGTCTGGGAGCCCGGAATGACGCTTTTCCTTTCCACACAAGACTTAAATGACCTCTTCCCTCCAAAATCCACCGCTGTTCCTGTTCCCATGGCAGTGGGAGGATGCATCACATGACCCTGTTCAACATAAGATGAGACGAGTTCACAGTAAAAGCATCAGGACATTTCCAAAATTCTCCCCATTGCTGCACTTGTACAGCTGCACCAGTAGGAGCCACAGAAGAAAGATAAGGAGAGAGGTTCCACTGATCATACAACAAGAAAGATGCAAAATTTGATATTTCATTATAAAAAGGCATGTCCCCAGAGGAAAAGTAGAAGCTTTAAGTATAAAATACCAATGTTTGTATGAGTGTAAACAGCTAGAAAGAGATCAGAGACTCCATGTACAATGCTTCTTTATCTTCTTGCAGAGGCTTCCATCATCACCATATCTGAGTTCCTCTGTATTTTCTCTTGGGTACTTTTTGGCACTATGTTCTGCCTAGTTTTGAATTAAGCAATGATTTTTTTTGCCTTTTATTTTGGGACTCTATTCCACAATTAATCCTAGCCAGCTTTTTCAAACAAGAAGTTCACATGTCAGGAAAATGACATAATTGTTTTTCTTTACAGTTTTCACGACATGTTTGTAATTTCAGTAGAAAAAGTTTGTGGTTTTCATTTACCCAAATCACATTTTTATAAAGGATTTATTAAACATTTATAGCCTAAGTAACTATGAGAACCCCCAAAAGTGCTGAAATTCTTAAACTTATTTACTGAGCAGCACAACCTTCAAAATTGAATCTTATTTTGATGTCAGAGGCATCCATCTTATCTTCACATCTGCCTGTAAAGCACTAAGGTCAAGTAATTCCAGCAAGTAATAACTGAAGTTTCATGCCTGGAAAGCTTTTGGTAGTATTCAGCCTTAATTTTAAATTTCAACATCCTGTTCTATTTGTGTGCTTTCTACAAACCAAAATAACCTTTGGCATTTACAGGAATTGCACACACAAACATCATGCACAGATAATTATATCAATAATCTAGGGCACGTTTAGCTGTAGTTTCTTAAAGAAATTTAAAAAAAAACCCTTTATACAACTTATTTTCTCCATAAAAGAAAAAATCTACTTGGAAAAAATACACCATTCAGTAGAGCTTTCTATTGAAATTACCCAAAATAATTATTATACTATTAATTTTCAGAGGGTTCTTCTCACACAGCTACAATGTAACTTCTTCAATTTAGTGGATTTACTTTAAGGTGATACAATTTACCACTCCATTTTAGGGTTTCACTGGGGCCATAAAACCAGTGTCTCTGCCTTTAATACTTCTTCAGAAATAGAATGGAAATACTTTACTTGCTTATTTTGAAGATAACTATATGTTTGTGTTTCAGGAGCTGATGTCAGACAACAGACTCTGCCAAAACACTCATCCCCTTTTGTTAAAATGTTCCTAGCTGTTGTGCTAGAAAAGTGTCCAGAAATGAAAAAATCATTCTCCCAGAGTTGCAATTCTCATTAGTATTTGAGTACAGTATATTCACGTAACAGGAAGCTTAATATTCACATTTTAGAGGACATTTCATGCTTTGCAGAATGCATTGCAGGGAATGCTTGCTTACTGTTGAAATATGGCTCTGTCTCTAGTGGATGCCATGAGGCCGATAGATTACATATTACAAGTCATTTAGGGAACACAGTGCCACAATATACCATTGGTCAAGAATAGATCAGTCTCTGATATGACTAATAAGAACATTCTTAATGTACATTAGTAAGGAAATAAAATGAGTGTTGATTCCCATGCCTTAGAAAATCTGTCCAGCGTAAATCATTTAGGTCAGGAAAGAAGAATCTTTTTCTAATGAACAACTGTGGACATCTTTCAACCTTTACCTGTACTGGCTGTTGTTAGAAATAAAGCAGAGAGACAAACAACTGGTCTAAGATAGGTTCATGATGAAGAACAGAAAAACAAGAGTCAGAAATTAATAGAACAATGGAATAATCATTTGTCCCAATATAATCTCACGTAATTTTGTCATGCAAATAATGTCACGTTAATTTGAACTTGTAGTCAGAAGGACCAATCTGACATATTTAACCCAGTCTTCAGATGACCCTTTGATTATGACAAGGAGAATATTACTTAAGACAGAGGACATGGGGAGCTGTGAAGTGAGGAGCTGCTTATGGGCATATAGGGAGATTAGTAGTCTTTCAGTGATCATCTAGGGAACAATACCATGTAAGTTTTGCACAAATGGTATCTAAAAGAAGTAGACAGAAGCATGCATGTTGAAATTATGTGACCTTAACAAGTCAGAATAAGATTGGGATACCATGTAGAAAAAACTGACTACCAAGTAACAAAAGTGAAACAGAACTTAGTAAAGCAAAGTCACGTACTTGGGGACTAGTAAGAATTTCTTTGATACACTAGGAACTGAACCCAAATGTCAAAGAAGGGAAAACACCCAAATACCTTATTTAATTATAAACTGACATGTAGTCACATCTGAAAATATAATGAAAAAGGACAACATAGATCTGGGATATACTGGGCAAGGTATATCCCAGTCAAATGTGGGAAGTACTGTGACTATCTCGCAGGACACTGGAGAGCTGCTTTCCAGACACTCTCTATAATTCCAGTTACTCACATTAAAAAAAAAAAAAATTTACAATCAAAACCAAAATTTAAACTGGAACAAATGCAAAGAAGGGCTACTAAAATGAATAGGGAAGTGAAGACACTACTAGAGGACACTAACACAGCTTTGCTTCTTTAGCTCAACAAAGCAAAGGCTGAGACACCAGATAATTGCTCTTCTATATGGAGTCAGGAAGCAAGTGCTAGAGAAGAAAACACTATTTAAACCTAAAGTTGGCACAGGAACAGATAGGCATAAACTGGCTATTGAAACAATCTAGCCTGGAAATCCTAAGAAGCATGCAAGTTGTCAGAAGAACTGGTCATGGAACAGCTTTCCTAAAGACATTCTTGGCTCTTGCTCCAAGCTAGTTTTAGATGAACAGTTGTTCAGACTGATGAAAGGTTACATGATATTGGGCCCATGACAGCAGCAGAGTGTCCACTTCAGCCCTGTCTTACTAATTAGCAAGAATTACTAGACCAGACTCACTGAAGGAGGGCCTCATACTATCTTTAACATTCACAGAGAGACAGAAGATATCAGGTTCTAAAAGCTCAATAAATTGCTGCATGTTGAATGGATGCTATCAGTTTACCTTCTGTGGACTCGCATGCTGGGACAGATTATGGTGCTGTTGTGCCAGTATGGAGGATTCTCACCATCTTTTCTTTCCTTTGCAGATGTTTGTGAGGCTTTAAATGTGACAGTCTCTCCGGGACCAACAGTGCGATACTCTGAGGGAGATAATGCTACCCTTTACTGCCACATTTCTCAAAAGAGAAAGACAGACAATTTGCTGGCTGTGCGGTGGGTCTTTGCTGCATCACCTACCCAGGAATATCTGATGATCAAAATGACAAAGTTTGGGTCTGTCCAATATTATGGAAATTATACTCATAGTTTCCACAAGCAAAGACTTCATCTGCTTAAAGAGAAACATGGAACTATGTACAAATTTCTTATTCTGAGCCTCCAGCAAACAGATCAAGGACATTATATATGCAAAGTCCAGGAAATTGGCAAACACAGGAATAAGTGGACAGCATGGTCAAATGGCACAGCAGCTACTGAAATAAGAGGTAAGAGACTACTGATTTCAATTCTATCACTTTTCTTGTCCCATGATCCCTTTTTTTCTTTTATTGCAAGTTCATCCAGAAGACATTTGAAGTTAGGTTGTTTTTAAGTGTTATCTGTGGATATGATAAGAAAACCTAATACTCAAATTCTTTATTTACACATTAGAATTTAGACATTATTCAGCCCCTAATAAAATGTAAATAAGTGAGAAGATCGGTAGAGTTGTAGAAGAGAGTATATTTCCTTTGCCTTTTACCAGAATATCAGTAATTAAAACTTGTTTGCATTCAGCTACAGGTCTGTGGTGGCTTGACCTTGGCTGGATGCCAGGTGCCCACCAAGCTGCTCTATCACTCCCATCCTCAGCAGGATGTGGAGGGGAGAATATACAATGGGAGAAAACCTCATGGGTCAAGATAAAAGCATTTTAATAAAGCAGAAGCAAAGGCCATGCATGGAAACAAAGGATACTTTCCCATCAGCAGGCAATGTCCAGCCACTTCCCAGGAAGTAGGGCTTCAGTACACATAGCAGTTGCTCTGGAAGACAGTCATCGTAATAATGAAATCTGCCCTCCCCCTTGGCTTTTCTTAGCTTTTGTTGCTGAGCAGATATAATATGGTATGGAATATCCCTTTGGTCAGTTTGGGTGGGCTGTCCTGGCTATGTGCCCTTCCAAGATCTTGCCCACCTAGCCTGCTGGTGAGGAGGGAATGTCAGAGAGACAGCCTTGATGCTGTGGGAGCACTGCTCAGCAACAGCCAAAACACTGGTGTGTTACCAACAGCCTTCTAGCTACCAATACAAAGTACAGCACTATGAGGGCTGCTATGGAGAGAATTAACTCCATCTCAGCCAGACCCAATACAAAGCCTTTACAACTTTGCTAGTGGGAATAAACAAATCCCATTATTATTTAAATACAAAGAGACAAAGAGAGAGAAACGAACTTATTTTCTGAAGAATATGCAGTGGGTCAGTCAGAAATAGAAGCATTATATTTTGGTTATATGTTTTGCCTCTCTCTTGATGTTTTCATTGCTTTTAGTTCTAGCCTAGCAGCAGTTGGTAAGTAGCATTTCTAGTATCACTTCTGTACTTTTGATTATAGAATTTGTAGCCAGAAAGCAGAGCTAGAGAAGCAGTGACCAGACTGCTGGTATTGAACGTCACATAAAGAAATGACCAGCAACAAGTGAGTGTTTTGAACTAAGCTGAAAATGAGTCTTCTCTTTGAGATGGATCAGCTCAAATCTAATGCCACCAGAGATGGGTGAAACTGGATTTAGAGAACAGACTCCTTTGAAGAGGTGGTTGAGATCAGCAGTTGTGCCATTAGAGCTAGCTGGCAAACTAGCTCTCTGCTTGTGGCTCTATAAACAGAAAAGCTGATTTCCCACAGGGCCAGCTCTAAAGATAAGCCAAAAATCAAGGGTGACTGCTTGGTTTCTGGGTCTGGAAGCTCAAGAGGCTCATCCTGCAATCTCAGAAAAAATTGTGAGAGGAAGCTGTTCTTCATGAAGTTTCTGCCATTCCTGCTCATGATAAATTTATCATTGTGTTTAGACCCCAAAGGTTATTCCTGTAGCTGGGAAACCCTAATCTCACTTACCAACTTTATGTTTTGGTGAAAACAGCCCTAGCTCTCCTCTGAAACCAATTTTAGTGTGAGGGAACTTCACTGACTATAGGCCTTTCAAGATGGATTTGAACATGTTTATGTAGCCTTAATCCAAAGTGCATTCACTCAATAGCAGCTTCACTGGTGTCATTCATATTTCTGTATTACTTTTGGATTATAAACACACCAGGGAGCGAAATGTGACAGTAAAAAATAATCTTTTTAAGTGTATGATCCCCTGCGGATAGCTCTCAAGTATCACAAGCTTTCACTTTGATCTATCAGAAGTTTGAGAACAAAGATGTGAAAAATACAGTATAATGAGATAAAGAGCAACTTCACGTTGACCAGAAATGTTTAAATCTGCCTTAAGAAATCATGGAATTAACATAATGTAATCAGCTGATTATTACTAGCAGTGATGAAAGACACTAATGATCCAAAGCTGAAGTTTTGTTTGGATTAGTAGCAATACCATGGATCAATTTTAAACAACAGCAAGAAAATCCTAGTCTAAACTATTTGGTGTTACTGGGCATGCAAAACTTGTCTGGAAAGCCTCTAAGACATTCATATGGGGTTTCCTCTGCTTCCTGGTTGCAGTCAGAAATAGAAATAATGACAGAGCAGGACTCAGGTCCAAATGGGAACCCCAACCCCCTACCCATCTCCAATAACCCTCCAATACCCAGATCCCAGCAGTGTACATCAGCCACACTTCTTTTGCACAGAAGACCACAGAACTGGGACTTAAAGGAAAACTTAACTAAAGTTCATTAGACTCCTAAATACAAATCATCAGGGCAATTGGTGCCATGGGTTAGAAGTGTAATCCTGCAGCAAAAATTCATCTGTAATCCATAACCTGGTATCTTAAAGAAACCAAAGCCTACATGATCACACTATCAAGTTGTGTGACCCTTTTTGAATTCAGGGGCTGATTTTAATGAGAAAACAGTCTTAAAAATATTGAGGTTGTACAAGTAATGTGAAATTGACTGGGAGGAGGGAGAGGAGATCTATATGAACTTCCCCACTGAAGAAAAGCTGTAAGAACAAAAAAGATAATTATTGTTCTTGAGCTACCATGTGCACAGTAACCTTCCACATCGCAGTCAGTAATTAGGGTTCCTAGACATACCACAGGAGGAGTACTAAGGTGGTTGTGGAGAGAGGAGCCATTTTGGTGTGGAACACAGAGTTTGTTAGCTACACAGTTCAAAGAACAGTTAGTTGTTTGATTTTTATTGCTGTTTTCACTCATTTGTTTTTAAACAGGGAGGAGTAAAAACACTAGAGCCTAAGGTCTCCTGAATTCAGCCATCATAATCTCTGGAGGGCATTAAGTTTTACAAGCACTGACCCCATGTTGAGTGGCTGGAGCCAAGACACAGTGGTTAGTCTAGTAACCACACAGGGATATGAAATGAAACTTTATTGCATGCACAATTTAGCCCTACAGACTTCAGGCATTAACTTGCTTCATGTTCAGCAGTCATTCTTCCCTGCTGTTCCCGTGCTTGACTAGGAACTATCTCTCCTCATCCTCGCCCTACCTCTTCCTCCTTTACACCTCTAGATTTGTCTGAGAGGAGAGATTCAGCCACAGTCAAGAAGGAACTGCCAAACAGGAGGTCTGATCATCCCAACTGCCTCAGCCTCCCACTTTTGGGAAGGGGCAAAACTGGCAACTGGTGTGCGGAAGGGAAGCCAAGGCTCTCATCTCAGCACTCAAAGAACAAGTGGTTCAAACACTGTGCCAGGGGAGAAGAAGAGAAGCTGAGAGTAACTACTAGGTGTTTCTACTTCCAACAGCACCTCAAAAGTTAAAGAAAAAAGAAAAAGAGAGAAAATCAGATGGAGAATAATTTCTAGGGGTTTCTTGTGATAATGTAATTTCATAGGGCAGGTCAGCAGTTTAAAGAGTGTTTTTTCAGTCACTGAATGATGAAATCTCTTAAATGCCTGTAGCGAAACATGGGTTTGTCAGAAGTGCTTGGAAAGGGAACAATGTGTTCCAGGTAAATGACAGCAAAAGAAAAAGCAATATAGAATATTGTCAGACCACCTGTCATACCCCTTCTCAGCAAAAGCCACTCTGCATCTTTCATAGCTGCTTAGGCTATTGGTAACTGTGACACAGAAACCTCTCATTGCTCTTCCTAGCTAAAGTGTGGGGGTCAGATCAGTTTAGTTATTGCAAAGAAGAAAAACTGTAACTTTTCAGTCCAGCCCTTAAATGCTACTTTTTCTCCCGATTTTTAGTATTATTTATGAATACATAATCAGGGTGAGGATTTGAGACTCATGACTTCATCTTTCTCACACTATCTGGTCAGCTGTATTGCTTCTCTCTGCTTCAAACGTAACCCAAAGCAGAACAGGAAATCTGAAGCAAGGGAGGAAGGCAGGCCCACCTGTAGACTAAACACACCAACAATACTGCCTGTTGGGATCTGAGGCAGACACCACCCCTCACTCCTTCTCTCTCCTCGACCCCTCCCACTCTCCTCCCCCCAAAAAAGAATATTCAATTCTAAATCCAGATTAAAGATAATAAAGGATATCTGAAAAATGACATAGCTTTAAATGCCATAGCAACTGACTTACTGCTAAAAGCCTCTTTACAGGAAACCAAGGATCACCTTAGCTAGCATTCTGTTAATGCACTGTGACAATACAGGACTTGCTACACATGGAAGGGAAGGCAACTCTTTCCAGCATGGTGATAAAGTCTACAGTTTCCCCAACAGTAACACTTGGGCTTTTCAAGGAAATTTTCTTCCAAACACATTTTGTATTTTATACTATGATTGGTTACATTTTCTCTTGCAAAAGGATTTACTTATAATACAGTTAGATCCGGGATGCAACAAAACGAGCAATACAAATTGCCTGAAACATTTGGATACTTAAATTGTACTGCTTGTGCTTTATCAAATAAGGTAGCAGTGTTCAAACACATCACAGTTGCTGTCTTGTCTAGCATTTTGCTCCAGTTAATGTGTCTGCACTTACGCCCAAATTCAAAACAGTATCTTTATGCTAGAGCACCAGGCAAATTTCTTACAACCTCGCACACCAAGTGGATGCAGAAAGAGCATTTAGGTCTGTTTTTTTGTTCACACAGGAAGAGGAGCTCCCTGTATAAGACACACTGTTCTGGAGGGAGTGGAAAAGGGTCATTCTGCCTCAAAATCTGACTTGCCCTCAAAGCAGAAAATACCTGGGGCAGATCAGTATGTAGACATTGTCAGTCACCAAGCATAGCACTAGTCAAAGCAAAAGACCTTACCAGATTACATCTGGGTCTCTAGTATCTACTTCTATTAACTTATATTCAGATTTTTTTATTTGCTAGCAAGTTTGCAGATGTGAATTTGTGTAAGCATTTTCTTTCAACACATGAATTTATACAGATACACATATTGGAGTTATGGAAAAACAATTGAGTTACTGACTACAGTTCCTTAATGTGTAATGATGGTGGTTAAAAGTTTAGCTATACATCTGGCTTCTCCTTTAGGGACAGAATATATTTCCTCAGAAAAGGATCCTCATCTGATGGGGATGGAGTCTCCTTACAGTCTTCCATTCATGAACTCGTGTCAACTACAGCACCTTTGTAATGTTTTCAGAAGGCCCAGATGAAATTAGAGTTTGCCCCTTCAGGTATAGAGAATACAAGACCGCAAGTAGGATTTATAAAAAAGCTACTGTTAAATCTTCATAGTAAAACCAAGAGAAATCCATGTCCTGATGTTGCCAAGAAGTGCATCCTACTCCAGCCATGCAACATCTTCCCTCTAAGCTAAGGTAAACCTTTTCCCCTTCCCCCATCTTCTTATCAAAGACATCTGTTCTTTTCCTGGGCTTGTGTGGTCAACGTTAGCTTAAAACCGAGTTAGCAATCTTCATTATAGTACAAAATACACCAGAAAACAGTTTATTTGAGGAAAAAAAAGACATCAGAAAGGTGGTTCTCCCACTGCCTTCCTATCAGAAAACTCAAAGTAATGAGTAGTCTTCTTAGAACAGTATGCAGCACCTCCAAACCATCATTTACAGTTGGGTAATCCTTCAAGCCCACTATGCAAGATACTACACATCTCTTGGGGAGAACAATACCTGTTCCAAATGGTTTACAATCCAAGAGAAGAGACTGCATGTAGCAGGACAAACATAGAAAATCAGGCAGTCCAACTATAATCTTATTGGCATGGACAACACAGACAAGTAGAGATGATCACAACAATCTGTCTTATTGGGAAATTCCTGTGTCAGAATTTCCCATAGAACAGAGTCTGAATTCTATTAAATATTAGTTACGTGTCATGTTTTCTGACAGTAAAAATGTTGCAAGATACAGGAATGCAAGATTACTTCTTTTTTCCCCCCTCAAATGAACAAAAGCTCCCCCCTTTTTTTATTTTTTTCAGGGAAGGTATTCTAAAATACTTGCCAAAAATCTACACGTGATGCTTTCATGTAACAAAAGACTAGATTTGTTTAAATATTCATCACAACTGAACAGAAGATTTCATAAGTCCTGAAAGCACTTCCATATCTGCTGAGTTAGCCCCATATCTCACATCCCTACAGGGCACTCCTTAATGAATTCCCTTTCCAGTAAGATACTTGTAAGATACTTGCCACACGAACCTTAGAGGTTCAGACCTCACTGGCAATCTGGAGGACATCACCAGACTCCTATTGCATTGCAATGATTGCTAGCAGAAGGAAAATTATGGATTAACATACATAATCATCTAATCAGATGTCATCAAAAATGTCAGCATGCATAAACAATCTGGCTGAGGATAGCAGAAAGAGTTTTTGAACCAGCAGTCAGAGCATTTGGATTCTAGTGCTAGGTTGTACAGCTGTTATGATATAGACATTCATCCATTTGCCCACAGGTCTGTAGTCTGTGCTTCCTTCTGAAACAGAGAGGACAATTCTGTGCGAACTCTGCAGCTATTTTCCCTCTTAATTGAGATAGAACATAGTAATTCAGTCACCCTTTTTTCTAGGCTATAAAGGTGATCTGGTACAACTTGTGATCATGCAGTCTTTCTTCTCAGGATAAAACTCCCACCCATAAGAAGGGGAATTATGCCAGCTGAGAACAGCTATTCTGCATTCAACAGTTGGTGGCCATTGATACAGCAGTGACAGGGCAGTTTACATTAGTTAAGATGTTCATCCTAGTCTGTGTCTACATCTAAACCAAGAACACTGACAGTAAGTAGGTGCATTTTGCTTTCCAGATCAAATATGTAATTTCTGAAGCTTTTGGACGTGCTTCAGAAAGTCCATGCATGCATGGCTGTATTTTTTGCAGATAGGCAGGTACCATTTCCATGTATCTTTAAAAGGCGTGGCATAGAAGCCAACTTTTGAGGGAAGTAAGAAGAAAAAGAATATATGAGCAGTGTTGTCACTTGGGGTGTCTCAGTGTGTTATTTGGGTGCCGTTGTAGAAATTGCAGGGCAGTTTAAACTGCCAAGGGACATCCACAAAAACTTTGGAAGGAAGGCAATTTGGACAAAATCAGAGGCCTACAGATTCAGTCCTGAAGCTGGGGAAACACTGTTGTGTTAGCAGAGATTACTTCAGTGACAAGCATTGCTAGAGTGACTTCCCTGTTTTTTAAAAAAGCGGTGTCTAATTTGACTGGCTCCAAATCAATTCTCAGGAAGCCTTCAGAGCTGTGTCCTTCAGTAGAGCTGCTGCTCTTCCAGTTATTTTTTTTCTTTACCTCTAAGACTTAGAAATAGACTGCAGTGTTAAAAAAATCCTTCTTAATATATAGCTACAAGGGAAAATAAATTCCCATTGTCTTGAGCAAAAGTTGTTCATCTTTTCTCTCAGAAGTAGGCTGTTTTGGGACAGAAACACAACCTGCAACCCTAGAGGTATGAATTCTGGGTAACTGAGAACACAAGAGTTAGAGTAAAACCAGCTACATACAGCATTAGTGGCAATTTTTCCCCTGGGATAGTCCCCCCCCCAAAACCGTTACAGGACTTACAAGCACATGGCCACCCTATTCTAAGGCCTAGGCTCTTCTAAAGTGTGTTTCTATTCTCTTGATGTTCTTCACTACATTTAACTTTGGAGTGAAGAGCCACACATTGCATCTTCCCAGAATAAGATGACAACAGGAGACAATCTCAAGCCACATAGCACTTGTGGGGGGTGCCAAGCCAGATGAGATTTGCTAGAAGACATCTTTATAATGCTGTTTTATAACGGAAGTGTTTCATTGAAAAGTAATTATCCTGTGAGATAAAGCAAGATCTTGGTGTACTGAGGTCTAACTATATTTACTTCAAGAAGTCACAGCTTTTTATGCTATGCATTTTCAGTACTTGTCTTCTTTGCTTTTTTCCAGTGATTTCATCAAAATCTTCTGATGATCCCACTTTCAAGAAAAACCATGAAACTTGGAAGTTTTTTGAAGGTAAAGATGTATCTAACTGCTACTGCTTCTATACAAGATGTTAGTTTAGTGTAATGCTACAGGATGACTAAAGTGCCCCAATCAGGACCAGTTTTGCTAGTTCCTGTGCAAACTCAGGCCTTGCCTGAGAAACTATCCCACAGAGTACAAGGGGTGCTGGAGAAAAGAGAACAAAAGGCTCCAGCTTCAGTTTCTCATGTATTTGTTATGGCCAATGGGAAAATAACCTATGCCAGGCTAAGTGTGCAATACAAATGCAGACCCTTATCCAGGAAGGTGCTGAGCATGTCTGAAGAGGTACTAAGCACTCTACCCTCCCAGTAGACATAAAAACTGCTCAGTGAACATGCTGTGCACTGCAAGAGCAGGTTAAAGCTCCCCTGAGTTTCAAGACAAGGAGTATTTTCTGTGTAGACTATTGGGCAACTGTTCCAGGAAACCAAAATCCAGAATTTGTATGCAGTTGGGATTTCCTCCTCCTCCTCCAACCCCAGTCGAGAGCACCAGCAAAATGCCAGCACAACATTTGCAGCCACTGCATTGCCTGCCAGGCAGGAGTGCTTGCCTGCAGGATGGCCTTGATTCTGTGGGAGCATTGCTGTTTAAGCCACAATTTGCAGACTATATTGCTGTAGTGCGTAAGGGGAACAAAGCGCAGAACTGCAGGTCAGGGGTCCAGTTCCAGCAACGCTATTTTCTACAAGAACACTTGACCTCTGAGGTTTAGTTTCCTCTCTGTGAAGCAGGAAAGAAGCCAGTATACCTCCCTAAGGACATTTCAAGACATTAATAGGTCGAGCATCCTCAAAGTACTCTATTTAGAATTCTAGTAAAAGCAGAAATAAGTCATTAAAGATTTCTTTTCCTTCTGAACAAAATACTCCATCTTGATCTGCCATTGTACAACGTCTCTCAGCTCCACTGGGAATGTGTTATGGCACCTGAATGAAAGCTGTAAGGGAGACTGAGGCTGTAGATTGAGAAAGAAAAAAAAACACACCACAAAGATTTCAATCCAGTGCTGCCACCAGAAGCAGCAATCACAGAGTTTCTTCCTTAGCCACTCAGCCCCCCCGATCTCCACTTCTTTTGTTGTTGTTGTTGTTTGTTTGTTTGTTTGTTTTTTAGAAAGTACTGCAGTTTGAACTGGGAAATAATTCAACTGAAGTCCTTTTGTTTTATAGTTGCTGCACCAGGAAAAAAAAAAAAAACAAAAACCCAAATCAGCCCTTTCCTCCCTCCCAAAAGTAAGCCCTATTAGGTGTAGTTAAATCTACTTGCATTTATGCAGACTTCAACCAAGTTTTAAACTGAGCAGGATACTATATGCAAGTTTCAAAAGGGTTAAATTACTTCTGAACTGTTACCCTAAGTATTTTAGGCCATGACAATGATCTATTTAGATCTTGTAGATGTAACTTTTTTTTCTATCCTGTAAGCATGAAGCATACAGCTGTGACACTGACACTCATCTGTGCTTGGCTTTCAGATCTGTATGTGTATGCAGTGTTTGTGTGTTCAATAGGAATCATCAGTGTCCTCCTTTTTACACTTGTCATTCTCTGTCAGTCACTTCTGAACAAGAGGAGATCCACAGGTGAGTAAAATATCATTCTTGCTGACTGCAAAGCCCTTACCAAAGAGAGAGAGAGGGGGAAGAAGGAGAATGTAGAAAATGCAGGAAAGAAATACCTTGTCATATTGATTTTAATAAAACCAAAAAAATTACTGGCAGAAAACCCCATTTCTTCTAGCAAAACTAGAACAAAGCTATTTTTCTCCCTTTGAATAACTATTTCATTTTAAATTTGCTTTGGACTTTTCAAAATCTTTCAGCTTTGCATAAACATAAATTGAAGGCTATTGGAATATCTTTCAAAGAAGACCAAAGGCTGTATCATTAAATTGCATTCTGATTAGATCCAGCTAACATTTCTGCAGATGTTTAGAGGGGTTTCAAAGTAGTCTTATTCTGTTCTGGTTTCTTCCCCCTCCCTGACTAGCTGTCAATATTATTGGGAATATGGGGGTTGTTATTAGCACTCTCATTTGTATTATTCTGTGAAACCAAAGCATCATTTCATCATTCAGATCTGCCTTTTCATAATAATCTTTCAAGACCAAGGATTACAGTTTCATTCTTCTGTTCCTCAGAGAGGGTTTATCAAAGAGGCTACATCTGCATGAAAGCAGCCCTGTTGTAATCAAAAGTGCTATTTAAGATCTGTGGAGTAGCCAGTGCAGGCTCTACTTTCATTTTGGTTTAAGAGTGGTTTATATGGAGACCTCACTCAAGCTGTGAGGTTGAGATACCAGCATGATTAGCAGCCACCGTGTTAGAGGAGAGCCTAACGACCATGTCTGAACAGAAGCTTTCAAAAAGAGTTTGGTTAGTGATTTGTGCTTTTGATGACAGGAGAGAATTGTGACTTTGCTGCCTCTTCAGCACTACACACATACTAGGAAGGAATGAGTGAGTCAGATACACGAGGGAGAAGACATGTAAACCAAAAATAGATGTATATAGAACTCCTTGCCTGACCACAAACACATTTCAGGCTGTGGTTCTGTCTTCCTGGTAGTGCACTCAGTAGAGTAACTTTGATTCTAACTGAACGCAATAACTCTGCTTGCCAAGAGGAAGGAGCAAGATCAATGTTATTCTTCCTACCCTGTTAAGTGATGACAAAGGTTTTGTGCCAAGGGAGTACCCACACTTAAATATGTTGGTCATGGTGAGTCACCCTGAAGCCACAAGCACTAGACACACTGATGTATCCTGTTTTTTCTTGATCAGACATTGAGCTACATTTTTCTTCTGTTTTTGTTGATTTGCACTGGTGTAAAAATACAAGCAACTTGGAGAAAAGGCCTCTTTACATTGAACCAACACCAGTTAAACATAGCAACAATATAGAATAAGCATATACAACAGAGAAAAAGTAATTTCTTCTGAGAAAGTAATCCTTCCTTCACTACCCTAATATCTGAATAATTGCAGGCTTCACCAAATTTTTATTTAGATTTTTAACATTATCCAGTAAACACCAGCAGCATTAAACTTATGGATTCAGTGGAAATATAACAGAATAAAGCTTAGCAGACAGGTACTCAGTATACAGTGATAAGATTTTCAGGCAAGTCTTTCAGCTAAAACCACCTGCTCAAAGTATTTTCCAGAGCCACATTAATTGGCTCAGCATCCAGTCAAGCATCAGGGAATTAAAATTTCTGAAGCAGCAGTGGAAGAAGGATCAGTGACAGACACAGCCTCCACCATCCCCCTCCTGCTTTTTCTCCTCGCAGCCTCTGGGCCCCAAACTCCTGCCCCAGCGAGCAGCAGTTCCCTGGGAGGTGCTGTTTCCACTCAGCCATATGTGCATAGGGCACAAAGAGTCCCCTCCTCCCTCAACACTCTTCTACCCCCTTCAGAGGCATCTTCCGGAGGTTAGGGTCTGATCCTGTCAGCCAACAGCAGTGCTCCTTCAGACTGTTAGAATAAGGCATCACTCCTCAAAAAATGTTATCTTCCTCTTCATACCATGCACTTCGTACCTCCATCCTGGGCTGAATAAGGCAGATGTTAGTATTTGTGTGAAAAGAGCCTGCAGTGAAATCATGAAGTCTATCTTGCCTTGAGAAGAGACAGGGACTACAAAGCAATCCTCCCTCTGCATTACCCCAAGCCTCCAGGCAGGCTCCAGGCACAGCCTCCTTCTACCTTCAGTGAGGTGGTTGCCACATCATCTTCCTCAGAGACTCTCCAAGAGGAGCCTGACTCTGCTCTTCCCCTTGAGACCAGGTCAGAGGCTCAGGACAACCAAAACTATCTCCTTACATTACCTTGCTGGGTAAATTTCTATCAGGGCTTTTCCCTGAACCTCACCAGTCACCTCACCTGACCGCTGTCACAGAAACACCAACTCCTTCCACTCTCCCACCACTCCAGCTTCCTCTCCCACTTCTTCACTTCTAACACCACAAGGAGGGATAACCTGCCCTGCCCTGCTCCAACCCACCCCACCACACACCCCACGTACAAGAGTGGAGGTAGACACCCAAGTAAGCACAGGGAGAAGAGGGAGGGAAAACTCTGCCCAGCCCTCTACAGGGACAGCCCAGCATGGAATAAAGAGCATCTCATGCCTGAACTAGAAGTTGGGATTTGCAGTAGATGATGCTGGAGATGATCTCTCTGGAGTGCCTGTCTGAAACCTGAGCAGATCCTGGCTCACCTCAGGGCTCTGACATGAGAAGGGTAATACTGAACCCAGTTCCTCACCAAAGGAGCTCCCTCAGCTTGATTGGATTGGCACGGCAGCTGGGGCTGGCCCATAGCACGAGGCAACTATGGATGCTGTGTGAAGCAGCAATGGTTGCAGCTGGCAACCCCTCTGTGGTTTTGGTAAAAGCCTATTCCCATTTGTTGCAGGTGTTGCTGATCTTCCCAATCCCTGGTTCAGAGGTTTGGAGTGTTTACTGTACAGCAAACCAAAATAATACATACCTAGAGATGCTCAAAAGCTTGTTAACAGTGTACATGACCATCCCCTTACTCCTGAAGGGTCAAGCTTACTGTTCTGTACATCTAAAAAAGGCCAGCCAGCCAGGTGGAAGCACCATCTTGTCTGGTTTAGACATGGGTCCTCTGTTAATCCCAGTTCCTAGTGGTCTCAGCTCCCCATTCCTTAGGACTAAAATGTACCCCCGGAGGACTTGTGTAGCTTGCTTAAAATAGGAGAATTTAGGTAAAACCAAATATGAAAACCTTCCTGTAGAGAGCGACATAATCATGTAGGTGCACTGTTGTCTGGTTTTCATGGCCTTTTAAAGAACATGAAGGGAGGGGGGTTGACTATGCTGTTGCCCAGGGATGCACTCTCTTTTCCTTCTGAGAAATAAGGTGGCAGTAGATTGACCAGAGAGGCCAGAGCCTCTATTCCTGCTTGCATGTCTCTGTGCTCAGGACGTGGCACAGCTTGGGCAGAACATAGAAACTACTAAGTCACAAAAGAGCATCTTAATAACCTTGGCTCCTAAAAGGCTGCAGCAGGGGACCTGCCCTTGCTCAGGACTACTGATTCAAAGGAATACAAAGCAGAAGGATTTCTACAGCTCACAAACACAACTGTCAGAGACAGGATAGTGGCTGGACTGTACCTCTGATCTGATCCCAGGAGGCAATCCCTTTATGCCTGAGGCCACAATCTAGCTTACATTAGGAACAGCAGTGGCTCCTGTGGGTGAATGGTTTATTTCAGGCTTCTGGAAATAAATAGAGGCACCACAAGGGAAATAAAAGTCTTCAAAGTAAAATTACTAGCCTGCTGTGCTTTTCCTTAGCAAGCTGTCTTTTGCCTGGGCTGACCACTGGAATGTGTGTTGCCTGGCACTTCTACAGCAGATTTTTGGTGTTATTTGATACGTTCCCTTCTCCCAAGCCTAGCTGTGTCTTTGAGTCAGACTACATTTTAATGTACAATATATGGTGACGATTAGCAGCTCTCCCAGTGTAGTAGCCTGGCAACTCCACAGTCTCAGCAGCACATGTCTAGCTGCAGTGACCATTTGTAGCTCATAAACTGTGTTGGTATGAAGCCACATTTTCTTTCTTTTTTTTTTTTTCTTTAACAGTGAAGCATTACCTGGTGAAGTGCCCCCAGAACAGGTAGGAGATTACACTTCTCTTTACTATAACCCAAGGCACCAGTTCTAGTTTTGTTTTGCTATGTATGATGAAGAGGATGAGTAATATTTTCCAAAATGCCTACATTTTGGATAATAGGATAATAGGATAATAGGAACCCAGGATAAAGATTCCTGGGTTCGTGACTCATGAACATGCCCACAAGCCAACATCTGCTGAGCATGATAGGGGAGATCTACCTGGGCTATCTAGCTGTAGGTCTTGTAGGTGCTTCAGTGACCAGCCTCTTCCTGAGGCTCTGAACTGCTTTCGGGAAAAGCCTCCTTTCATCCTGTGTGGCTTTCTAGGGTTTCCCAACACCCTACCAGATGGTAATGACTTAAATCATCCATGTACATAGAACAAACCACAGTGTTACCCAGTGATTCCTGCACCCACGAACAAAGGCTGGGGCTCAAAAGAAGATTTTCAAGGCCTGTAGTCTATTCCCAGCTGAAGACTCCAAGTGATGGGAAAAATTCAACTTCTGCTGATGTCATTAATCACTGTCCCTTTAAATACCACTGACTGCCAAAGGTTTTTGATTGTGTGGTGCTATAAAACTGATTTCCATCATATTATTTTCCTGAGAGATAAATTGTGCTGGAACTGCACTGAAAAGAAAAAAAAAATGACAGAAGTATTTTACAAACAAAAAAAATTAAAGAGGGATGCCTTGTAACAACACAGAAGAACAGCTGTTTCCCAGTTTTCAGTGACATGAAACATGTGTTTCTAGTCTTGTAGCTGAAATCCAGTATCACTTGGTATCACAAATACTATTTCTCATAGTATCTTTTTAGATACTACAAGACTCAATGTCAAGTATAGCATACCCTGGATCCTCAGATAGTGTAATTTTTAGTGCATTCTCATGAGTTTATCACTGTATTCAATCTAACTGACACTCGGATGTAAGTGAAGTCACAACAAAGCAACAGAGAGTTCAGGAGAGGCCAGTACAAAGTGAGACTTTCTTGTTTTTCATGGAAAGATCTTTGTTCTGTGACCCTGACCAGTCATTGCACCACACCAAAAATTTACAGAGACAGCTCAGCATTTTTCATTTTTCCCTGGATGTTTTCTCTTTCCCCTTCTTTATTAGCTGCTGGGACAAAGTTGGAATTACAAAAACAAAAAAAGAAGGGGGAGGGGAGGGAAATCAAAGTAGATTGGCAGAGAACAGAAGATTAGGAGAAAAATGAGACCCAACTGAAAAGATGACTGAGAAAATGGAGCATGACAGTGAGATAAAAAGACTCATACTACAGAATCTGTCTCTCTGGGAATAGATGATGTGGTAGTGATACTACTGCAGACACTAAACTTAGGAGGCTGAATAGAAGGAGGAAAACAAGCCAATGTGATTTCTTCACTGTAAACCAGAATTTCTGAAAGCAAAAGGAATGAATGACTATATATGGATAAAAATATGGTTTAATATATTTCACTGTGACAAGATATGCTAATGAAAGCCCCGATCCCACAAATTCGTGTCTAAAGTGCATTGACTTCAGGGCTTTAAAAGTAAATAGCTATGAAAGTGTTACCGGTCTCATCATTTTTGATGTTTTACACTTGGTACCATTTATTTTCTACCTTCTGCTCAAAACATAAACCATTAATTTATTTGAACTAATTTCTCTTCACCTGCACATTCCTTGTCTTGGAACTTAATTCAACACATTTAAACCCAAAACCCAGTGCCTATATCCATTAGGCCAAACTGATTAACTAATTTGCATGAGATTCCTTCTAGTCAAAATGACTACACTGTGCAAAATTCAGCCTCGATTAGAGAGGCTCAGCTCCAGCTCCCTTAGTGATATTTCAAACTCAGGGCAGAATCCAGTTTCAAAATTACATTAATAGTCTGATGTCTAAGAAATGTCTGTACTCCCACTGCAGTAATACCTAAGCATCTTGAAATATTTCACGCCTTGACATCATAATGGTGTTTTTACTTAATTGGAATTTGAAGCACAAAGGGCCGAGTGATTTGCCCCAGGTCTCACAAAATGGCCTTGGTAGAAAAGAAAATTAAATCCAGATTTCCTGAGTAGAACAAAGCAAAAGTCTAAGTTTTGGGTTGCTGCTTGACCAATAATAAATTAAGGAAAAAAATGAGTTAACCAAAACCCATTTATTTCCCACATTTTAAAAATAAATACCTAAATAAAAAGTACAGTCATTTTGGGTATTCCGAACCACGTAATTCAATTTTCTGGGGTTTTATTTTCTTTAAATATCCTCCTTCTTATTATCTTCCTTGTTATTAGATCATTTTGTCAGTTTTCAGATCCAGAAACCCCCAGGAGGTGTAGCTTTGAAAATAAGAATTACTTTTTTCTGTCTCTTATATTTGTTTTGGCCTGAACTCTCCAGTCCTTCAGTGACTGCCCTTCTGGAGACAAATAATTTGAGGTGAAACAATTGTTCACCTCAGAAAGCTGCCCATCTCGGCACATTGGTTCCACAGTGCCAATATGACATCGTAGGAGCAAATTCTGCCAGACTGAACCAGAACTAAGTACCCAGTCCATCCCTGGCACATTTTCACACAGCTCCCCTGTTTGGAAAACATCAAAGCAGCTCCCAGCTCACTCAAGAGAATTTTTTGCCATCCCCCTGCAGACCTTTGACAAGAGGAAATAGCTGACTTAATTGACAACAGGAAAAGTCCCACATCCTTGACTCTAATAAGGGTAGCAAAGCCAAAACTGTAGTATTTTGCCAGCTTTTGGGACAGGCATGACCTCCAGGGAAACTGCTGTCCTGATGCCATGATTGTTAGACACCTACCACAGGTTTTTCCCCCAAACTACTGTATTTTTCTTACTCTCTAAAATCTCATTAGAGCCTTCAAGAAATGCACAATGTGACACTGTTGAAATAGAAGGCAGGAGGCTGGAGTTGGAGCCAGAGATAAAAAACTAACTTTCCTTTTAGACATAGAACAAGACAGGCTCACAAAGAGGCAGTGTTTTGGAGCCAAGAAGTCTTTTCTGAGCCTCCTTGTTTGATTTGAGGAGCTCAGTTCTAAGACAGCAAGTACAGTTATTGTATCTCCAGAATTAATTAACCCTGTATGGCCCTGGCATTTAAAAGAAAAACGTAAGCCACAAATACATTTCTCTGTAGCTTTAGTTTTTCAGTGGCAAAGCAGGAATAATAACTAATGCAATGAATTGACACTAAGCCTTTTCATATATTGTGCTTAAAGTAGCTATATCAGAATAATAGTATCTTTAAGCTACACATCTGCCTTAATGAACTTGGATTATTAAAGCCAAAAACATTAAAAAAATAATTCTTATCCCCTATTTTGTATTCTTTGCAGTTTGCTGTGTTTGGGCAATGGAGCCAGGCAGGACAGTTTCATTTCCTGCTGGTTTTAAACCATTTCATGTTTTGATTTTAATATAGAAAAAAATGGTTGTTGTGGGATACGTTCATAATAGTGCAGACAGACTTTGAAATTATTTTAATGCAACCCTCAGTTTATATAACTGATGTGATTTATTTATAAATAATTAAAATATTTTAAATACTTTAAAAAAAGTTAGGCAGCAAACCTATGTTTTAGACTGAGTACATGGAACAGAACTCAGGAAAATCGCCAAACCAGAATCTTTGTAATCTACACAAGTGTAAATCCAGAGCGATTTTACCAAGGGTAGTGACATTCATTTGGATTTACAGCTGTGTAAAATGATAATGTCTGTTGTTTTGTTATTCTTGTGTGGGCAATAGCTGAGACATCTTAACTTTCATTAAGACTTTGGCCCAGTTTGAATATTTTATTCTATTAATATAAAGAGAATGTTTCATTATGCAAAAGAACCTGGAGAGGAACAGCAACTTGGGACAAATGATTTAAAATTAAGTGAAACCAGTGTCAGTGTTATGACTACGGAGACCCTGGTTGGATCCCATTGTGTGGTGTAACTCACCAACACAGAACAGAAAGGTCCCCACAACCATACTTGCGTTAATCTTTCTCAGGGTGAGCCCATGGTCAGGTGCATCTGAGCAACAACTGCTTACCAAGTCATCTCCACCACTGTACTCATCATAACTAACTGCTATACACTCTCCTCCCACCCCAGCTGTAAGTTAAAATTTCTTTCATTACCAGTTAAGCCAGTACAATTTTATTTTGCACTAGTTGCAAGCTAGGAGCACCTGCACAGTCAGTTACCACTGCTCAGCTGACACATGGTGACAATTGCAATCTGACTGTGTATCCAGAAGCCCTAAATATTCAAAGCAGGATTTACAACCTCAGGCATTTGAAGATGCTAAGGGTAAAAAAAAACAGACTTAGAGGATGTTAAACTGTAATAGTCCAAACACAGAAGCCTTCTTGGACAGGAGACTGTTTACAGTATAGCTTTGTACTCTTCCCTCATACCTATTAATGCTTTTTCAGCACAGATGTACTAGAGAATGCCCAAGTTTAGAGACTGGGGCACATCTTCTCCATTTTATATGCACTGAGCACACTGGGGTCTTTTAAGAAGCTAGCTTTTCAAAAGTGGGTTTGTGAGCTGTTTGAAGACATGCTGCATGCACTCCTGGCCTGCTGGCCCCTCAGCCAGTCTTAGCCCAGAAACCATATCGAAGATTTTGCTTTGCCATAAGCTTTCCATGTGAGCTTATGCAAGACACCTAACCCATCTGTGCCTCTAACCCTCAAGGACAGTTGGGTACAAGCTCATTCTGAGTGCACCAGGGAGCCATATATATTTTTAAGGAATAGGTGCTATGAAATGAGTCTTGTTTAACCTGACACTTTGCACTTTCCGCACCAGGACAGATCAGACTCATGTTTCTCAGCCTGACTGCATGGTTGAAAAAATAAAAGACCCAGAGGACTTCCAACCCCTGTAAGAAGATTTTCAGTATAACCCCAGGTCAAAATCCAGGTTGTTGGGCAGGGACTGTCACAGGTGGAAGCTGATGTGTTTGCATGAACTCACTGGGACAAACTGTCTTTCCCTCCATTGCTTTCACTTTTCCCTCACATATGGGCCTCTGCTTTGCAGCTCCGGGGAGACAGTTACCAGTGTGACAAGCATGTCCCCTCTACAGCCCAAGAAGGTAAAGAAGAAGAAAGAGAAGGAGAAATTGGAGCAGCCACCAGCCATCCCTGCAAAAGGTATGAAAACAGAGATGCAGAGGTATTTCAAATCCTGAGCACAACCATGGAGGGACAGCAGAGCATGGGATGTCAGGACTCCTGCACTCTGCCACTGACTCTGCGTGTGAGGTGACCTGTGCTCACGCCCATCAATGGGGAAATAAATGGCCTGTGCCTGCTACTGGGACCAGGCTCTCACCTCCCTGCAGCTTTAGCTATTAAAAAGCTAGTCACTGAGTTCAAGCAAGAGGTCTCAGCTCTCACTAATCAGAGGAGAGAGAGGAACCTCTGTAGAAATATTAATCCTGCTCAAAAACAAGATTAAAGTTAGGCAAGATGGAATTTCATGTTGGCAATAGACTGAGGGAAGCCAGCGCATTGCACTCTTAAAATTGCAGGTGCACTTGAGAAGTCAAGCAAGATAAACAGATAAAGATCAACATCTTGGGGACTTCACTTTCAAAGAGGGTTCATGATTGCTTCTGTGGTCAGTCTCACAAACTCTTAGGCATACTTTCTGAGCACTACTGCCAGTGCTGAGCCAGTGAGCAAGAGGAGGGAAAGGACCTGAAGGTTTACTGTGGGTTAGATCACAAATTCTCAAGGGGGTGTATTTGCTCTGGCTTCTGCACATAAACAGCATGTTTTGCATATCAGATTCTTTAATCTTATGCATTTTTCTAATTCATAAACCCTATGATTCACAGTAAAATATATTACCTGAAATACAGTTAAAATCTGGTGTAAGTACATGTATTTGATCCTAATCTGCTATTAATCTGTAATTTATAAATTGCTAATGCATATACTAAAAATGACAGTGAATGATGATAATATTAAATGATACCTTAATATTTATTTCCATAGCTCCAATAGTCAATAATTTTCCTAAGCCCAAACTCCTGAAACCTCAAAGAAAATTGACCCTGGTAAGTAATTTTTTATAACATTATTCTCTCCATATTCTTCTCTCTCAATACATTTGCTGTAATGTTGCCAGAACTCTAGGTTCAGAAACCATAAATTGGCTTAAAACCCATACAAGTCCTTTTTTTTTAGTAATACTTTTTCAAGTGATGAATTATCTTTTGCTCTTTTCATTTGGAGCATTAGATTACACTGGGTTATATTTTCCAGCTTTCTAGCAGTCGTTGTGTCTACAAATTTAGCCTGTTCTTAAATTAAACCTGCTATTGATTCTCACATGCTTCTGGCAGCTGGTGCTTTGGAAGAAATACCAGCTACCAGTTACTGACAGAATCACAACCATACTGGTCACACCGCTTTTGACTTTTTAAGTCAGAAATGGTTCTACCTTACAGTGGTGTAAGTCAGGAATAACTGAATTGAAGGAATAAAATGTATTTATATAGTTCATATTAAGGAAAAAAAACCCACCTCCTATGACAGTTTCTGTTGGGTATAAGTTTCTGTTTGAAAAAAACCCCAGCAGATATATACCAAACAAATCAAATAGATGGAGAGATGTTTCTCTACTTTAGTAGTAAAGCAGTACTTGAATAAAACATCCAGGGGTAATAGACGGAGTTTTATACCAAGTAACTTCATATGCCTATATAAAGAGGGTGGGCTGCTATGTTCCTTATATAGTCAATAGAAAGAGAGATGAGTTAGAGTAGGAGCCTGATGCTCCTACTAATTCAGACTAGATGCTCTGAATTGCTTTTTAGGGATCCTTTCTACCTTCTCTGGCAATAGAGAGAGCCCAGAGTGATCAACTCCCTAATTTAGGTGAAGGTGGGTGCCTAAAGTTAGGCCATGTGAATAACCCAAACGCCTCTGTGATGGCTTCACTTTCAGTTGAGGTTTAGAATTGAGAACCTTCCCACCAATTGTCACTAAATAACCTCTGCCATTTTAAGTATGGCCAAGGTACAACCCAAGATACCTGGGCATAATGCCAGGTGACCTCAGAACAGCTCAGCAATTTGAGGCAATATCTTAGGCGATATTGCTGCTTGGGCATGGAACTCACTTCTCCTCTGCTGGTCCTGCAGGGATTGCACCTTGGCCAGGCTCTGCTCATACAAGTCAGGTTTCAGTAGAGGAAGAGGTAGAGTTTTAAAAGTCCATGAAAAAAACATTATATCCATGTAGATAATTGTGTGAGGCCAAAGCTATGCTAAGAGAACAAAGGCACAGATGAGAACACTTGGCATCAGGGGATGACAGCCATCCTTTGCCATGTGCACACTGCATTAATCACTGTGCCCAGACACGTGGCTACATCAGAAATCAGTTAGTCTTCATCCCTCCTAGGAAAAGCTCTCATCATTTAAAACACTCAGGCTCTTTCTGCAGGTCAATAAAGCACATCAACACATGCCAAATTTGAGGTAAATCTGTTGCCAGATTCTTTTTCTTTCTGGAATAAATCCAAGGATGTGGGCCACAAATAGCTGTTGGCTCTTCCCTTCCTGCTACGCAACCCCGGTCAAGGTTCAAACTCTTTGGATGTGAGCAGGAATAAAGCCTTTCAAGCAAGGAAATCAGCTTTGTTTTCCCTAGCGTGACTGAGGATCCACACTCTGTGTGCAGCCAGCAGAGTTGGTTTTAATGCCTTGCTGTTGGACTCAAGTCTGGCAGCTGTTTCCATACGTTGCTCTTTTCCCTTTCATATTTCACCTCAGAGTACACCTGGAGAGCCATCACAGCCTACAGAAAACACATGATCACTGAATGTATTAGATTTAAGTCAAGAGTAATCCAATAAATATTATCCAAATGATTTTCAAGACCCAAACTCACCTAGCAATAAAGTGCAATAAAGGGCAAAGTAAACTAAACCCAAGTCAGTCTATGAGGCATGTTCAGAAGCTGGACATGACACTCCCCAGAACTGTTTCCCATTTCTGTTTCTCCTGCCTCCCTTTACAACACAGTTGGTTAAAGATCTATGTTTTAGTATTCTCAGAAAAAAGAAAAGAAAAATTCAATATTTTCTGCTTTTAAATGAATTTTCAGTGAGGAAATTAAACTACTTGAAGTAAAAGAAGTTTCAACAGAGGTACAAAATGGTAATAATTATGGAGAAAAAGACATATAAAATTCATCTAAATGAAACATTTTATTGATTTTCAGCAAACTTGCTTCCCCATTTTTTTAATTCCACAAAACTTCTCAGATTTTAAATTTTTAGTCTGCTTTGGGGCAAAAAACTATTATCATCATCCTGCCAAATCTCTGCAGGATAAAATAATCTTTTCTTTCCAACTGTAATTATTGCACAGCTGGTGTCTGCACAAGGTCTTTTTTCACTGATGGCATAGTTACTAGGTAATCATCACTGCAAAGACAGACTCAAATTGCTGAGTTTCTTGACTTCTTCTGCAGCTTGCCTGTGCAACCCAAGGAAGGTACCATACCAGGGCACCAGGAGAATATTCTAGAAAACCTAAGCAAACAAGCTAGAGTATAAGGGAACATTACAAAATAATTTCAGTGTTTTGGGAAATTTTTTGTAATAGCCTAAATACCAGCAAAATTATTTCCAGAGGACATGTGCTTCTGGTTTCTTGAAAGATGTTTATAATAAGCTAGAGAATTTCTTTTGTTGTTAACGTGCTAGAGTGGATTGCAGTATAATTTTACAAGAATACAATAACCTGGATAAAATATGGACATAATCTCAATGAAAATTAAAAAAAAAAAAAAAAAAAAAAAAAGAGAGAGAAAGCCTAATATCATGTTCAATTGCACAGCCTTGAGTAAAGTCTTTTAAAAACTCTGCTTAAGTCATATTGCTTTTGCTTTAGCCAGAATAACAATTCTATGCTCCCCTTGTTGCAAAAATATTCCCCATCAGTGTCATTCTCTATTAGCATCAATGAGAAATGTGTACAGATCAAAGGAAATAGAGATGCTGAAATGAAAAAAGGGATGTTTTTTATAGCATGCAAGAAGCACGGAGAGTCATTAGGAAGAAGAAAATTCTAGGGGCCCACAAATTCTGCTCTCTAAGGGCTGTTCTGCTATAGCCTTAAGTACTTAGCCCTCTGAGTTGGTAAAGATAAATATCTTTATATATTCTATACTTCCTCAACCAAATTTTCTGGTAAGATTTTCGTTACCTCCTAGAGATTAGTTGCCATAGCCCAAGAGTGTCAGTTATAGAACATCATCTAAATGAAAAGGTTTCAGTGTCTTTTTATGAAGATTTGCACCACCAAGCTTAGGAGCTCCTGTATGATGCACTAGAGCCAATGGAAAGGATGTGACTTCAGGTTAGATCAAATCCTGTAATCTTTACTTATGCAAAATTTTTGTTGACTTCTTCATTTTCACACTAAATTTTAAGGTGAAGAATACCTGCACAGATAAGACAGGCTATAGAGAGCCTTCCTGATTTTGCTGCTGACTTATGTGGCCTCTGCTAAGTCATATAATTGTCCCACTTTGAAATCAGGTGAATGTTTCCTGTATTACAAATGATCCCCTTTTGACTTTTAGGTTTCAGGAGTGCATTTTCCATGGTACAACAAACCAACCAGATCCACTGTATATCAGAACCAGTGACCTTGGAGTCCTTTTGGGAATGGGGTCTAGATGTGCGAGTGAATTATCTGCAGTCTGATTACCACATCAGAGCTGTGAAATGTAAAGAGCTGCTTTTGGTTTTTGATTGCTGGGAAATTTGTGCTTTCTGACCTGTGCTCCAGTCTGCTGTGCTGCAGCTTCATCCTCACAGAAAACTGGGAGAAAATTTACACGTTGCAAGATTGTACTTGCTAGATGAGTCAATTTTTTCCCCGTATTCTTTTTCATCTTACAATTAACCACTACATCATTCAAACTAGTCTTATACCATATGCATCAAGGTAGCTAGTAATGTTAGGCTAGTCAGTTTTTTGCACAACTAGTAGGATTCCTCATTAGCCTTAACCTGCAGGTACCATTGGCCCTTTCCTTGAGAAAGGAAAATGAAATGAAATACATCTGTTCAGTGATTTGTGGATTCTGGATCTGGGAACAATCATATCATGCTTTCTCCTGGATGATTTTAAATTAAAAGCTATGCCACCCTCTGTTAGAAGAGTTGTTTCCTCCACAATATGTAACAATGGGTGATGATTTAAGTTTCCAATTTCTTAAGGCATTATTGATCTCCACAGATTTCAAATAACATTGTACATATGATATGCAAAGGAGTGGTGAACATTTTTTAACTTGACTCCCTGTGATTCTTGAATATTTCCATCCAGTCCACATAATTTTTCTCTCTGTGAGATGAGTAATCCTTTTTTTATTTTTTTTCATTCTTTCCTTAGGATGTGAGATGTCCATAGGAACATGAATATCATTTACACATTCAGGTTGACACTCAGAACACAACAAATTCAAAACTACTGAATTATGCCTGCTTTCCCGTTCAGATCACAGGTTGCCAGCTTTACCCCAAGAAGAAACAGTTTGTATAAATATATAAAATCTCTTGCTGGAATTGTGCTGAGACTTGTGTATTTACAAAATCCCACAGCAGATGATTTTCGTGTGATGACACATTTGGAGTAATAAAAGTGTCACCAGAGAACTGAAAACCTTTAATTACTTCCTTGGGCCTTTTGGAAGGCTAAAAAGAAATCAGCCCAATTTCCAGCAATATTGGTTTAGAATCTAGGGATAACTCTGAAACTGTAAAAGAATAAAGTATTAGCAAAGGTGAGGACACTCTTCCCCAAAAGCTGTTAGAACAGGCTGGACAAACCTCTCTGCCAGGTATGTTTAAATCTGTTAATGAAGAAAGATGGAGTGGCTCACCCCTTAGAGTAAGTACCTGCCCTACATTTGTGGGATTCTGTTTCTTTAAAATAAAATCATTCAATGGGACTTAGTAAATCATCTTTGTCCCTGATTTTGTTATCATAACTTCCACAGGATTCAATAGCAAAATTTAGATGCAGTGCTGAAA